AGCTTTGAAAAATTGTGTCATAGAGCCATACGATACGTATTATGAAAATTGGCTTTATAATTTTAGCTTCTGTCATGCTTATTCAGTGAGTGTTTATCCTGAAACATAGCATAAAAATGATTCATTTTTGAAGTCAGACCATTTCTTCTGTATTTGACTAATCCATCTGGATGTTTCAAACACTCAATGTGCAGAGTGAGTTTTTAATTTCTGTGGGAATTAAAGGTCTTAAAGTTCGTTGGTATAATTTTAACTGATTTATAAATGACCTTCCTTAAATTTTTAGATTTTATAAACTGGGAGTAAATTATGATTAAAATAACTGATTGTCTGAATTATTACCAGTAATTATCATTTAAGATTTAAACTGATAGAAAAAAGTGTGAAAAGCAATTATAAACTGAACGCATTCTTCCATAAATCAGTGTGTTTAGTGGTTAAGAAGGTGGACTCCACAGTCTGCCTGGAATTTTCTCCCTTCTTCACTGCTTAGCTGGTTGACCTCAGCAAGTTACCTAGCATCTCTGAATTCTGTTTTATTGTCTGTTTTGTGAGGATTAAATGAGTTTAGTAAAGCCCTTAGAATTGTGCCTGGAACTTACAGGCTCACAGCAAATGTCAGTGGTGATGGTAGTTGTTATTATAAAATAATTCAAATAGAATAATATGCCATACTTTCAGTGAGCCAGAAATCATATATTCAGATAATGTTGAAGTTAATTTAGTGAAATCGTTTGAATCTTAATATAAAAGAAATGAATTTATAAAACTTCATATAAGAATAAGTAGTGTTTATATTATCATTTGGCAAACACTATTACACGGGCTCTCTGCCTTTTGACTTAGTGTCTCTTACGTGAGAATGGTCATCAAAACGTGCAATCTCACCACTGGTAGAGGATTTCCTTTTCCCCGGGGGAGCCTTTTTGCTGCAGACCCCATTGTGCCTTGGGATCTTGTTTCCTGCTAGAGTCTGTTGTAACTAGTATTTGGCCTCTACCTGCTTCTCCAATACTATCTTTTCTCCTTGTGCATACCCTTTCTACCCATACCCTAGAGCAATGTATTCTCCCCAAATGCCCGGTACCTTCATCTCCATACCTCTGTGCTCCAGCTACTATTTCTTACTTGTACTCCTTCTCCTTCACCCACTTATATCTGGCTAAATCCTCAACTAAGGGGATGAGAGGTCTTCCCTTATCCTTCCTCACTATCCTTCACCACCAAAATGTAGTTAGATAACCTCACTAAAACACTGTACTTAAACTTTCATATTAGCCAGACCTTTTAAGGTTAAAGAAGTACATTCAGAACCCCTTTCATCATGGAGATTTGTGAGCGTGTGCAGTAACAAGAAATATCTGTTAAGCCAGTCACTCTGGATCGTGGTCCTTGCCCGGGACTGTTAACGTACATCCTGCTGGCTGCAGGGAGAACTGGAACAAAGTACACTGCAGGAGCCACGGCAGCTCATAGAGACTGTCACTTCACAGCCATCCTGAGAAAGGAGATCTGTAGCCAGCAGACAATTTGGAAACTTTGTGGCTGACCTATCCTTCCGTAATGCTAACATAATACTAATTACCTGCATGTTGATCTCTAGGCTAGGAGTGAGATTGTGTTCCTAGCATCTCACGTGGTACCTGGCTTTCAGTAAATGTCTTTGAATGAACAGTTATGTCTTTTTGTGGCAGAAAGAGGGAAGGGGCAGGGAGAAAACTCCAGGCCTTGTTCCTCATGATTTCTCCACTTTTCCCTTCCTGTTAATGTCACTGTCTAAAGTCTGTGACTGAACTGTTGTTGATTAAGTCCCTCTTCTTGAAGACTCAGGAGAAACTAATGAAAGAACTCAAACAGCTCCACCAAGAGGACCTGGCACGTAGGAGACAGACTGTAGCGCAGATGCCACCACAACTAGCTGAGCTTCCGTACAAACGCAGTGAAATGAAAGAAGACTGGCAGAGAGAGCTGGAATTTGCCTTTGAAGACATGTACAATGCAGACAGGAGTAAGACTCTTTCACTTGCCGTAAGCTTTCAGCAGTGCTTCTAAGTGTTTTGCTGGGGGAATACATTTGTATTGACAAAGCAGTTTTTATGTTGGGATGAGTTCTTGGTTTGAAAGTGGCCCTCATATTTTAGACTTAGAAATGATAGTGGCCTTTCATGGGACACCTGGGTGGCTCAGTCGGTTAAGCATCTGCCTTCAGCTCAGGTCATGATCCCGGGGTCCTGGGATTGAGCCCTGCATCGGGTTCCTTGCTCGGCGGGGAGCCTGCTTCTCCCTCTGCCTCTGCCCCTGCTTGTGCTCACTGTCTCTCTCTGACAAATAAATAAAATCCTAAAAAACAAATGGCCTTTAAAATTTTATGCTCAAGTTCTTTTTAGTCATTTCAGAATGGAAACCTATCCTCTCTTTCTTTACTGAGAAGTGAAAGGAAACCTGATTTTGCACCTCGAACCAGAAACTTTGCCCACTGTGACTGATCAGATCCAAGATGAAGAACTGGACCTTTCAATGGAACAAGAAAGTGTAGGAGAAACTGAAAACATTCCAGTGACAGAAGCTGAAACAATATGTTCTAGTGAAGCAGACGGTAAAAACAACTTCTGAGCTGAATATTACCATATTTCATAGAAAAAAAATGCTAGTAATTTGCCAACAGGAAAATCTGGTCTAATTTTAGTGCAAACAAATGACTAATACTAATGGGAGTGATGGAAGAAAGAAGCCATGTTTTTAGATTTTCCATCATTAAAGATCCTTTTCATATACATAGGAGGAAAGTCATTTTGTTCACATGTACATATAGTCTGAAGATTTTTAGGTTAAGTTAGATGCCCAATTCTGAATTTCTTTGAAGGCTCAGCATTATCTTTAGACTTCATCAAATCAGCAAAGATCCTGCTATGTTAATTACTGCTAAGTACTTCATGAACAATAATGAGTAACACAAACTTCAGTCTCTCTTCTAAACTTCACCTCTCTCCCCACCATTCTTAATTCTTTCACTTGGCTGTCTCACAGCTACTTAAAGCTCCCTGTCTGACTATACATTTAAACCTCCCTTGCGTACTGAAACTTTGTCTTCTTCATGTTAGTGAATGATACCACAGTCTGTAATTGTCTTAAGCCAGACCAGTGAACATTACCTGTAACACCTCCCCCTTTACTTCACGTCTCCTTAGAGACCAAGTTCTCTTTATTTTGATCTCTCCCCCTCCCCTGCCACCTACTAATACTGCCTTTGTTCAAAACCACTCAAGCTTTCTTATAAATCTTTATCCTATACTGTGGATAGGTACCCCTTTGAGGTTCCAACTCTATGTGGGTCTCCTGTTCAACTCCTCGGGTGAGACTCCTATTAGACTCTACGTTCTATCCCTGTCTCCTATGTCCACACTGCTGTCTAACAGTGTAAGGTTACTGTAGTTTGTCAGAAACATCAGAAGATGGGTTTAAGGTTCACTTCCTTCCAGAATTCCCAGTTATACTTTCTTTCTAGCCTCTGAAGAATCTTTGATTTCCTTACCAGATCAGCAGTGCCTTTAAGGAAGATAGTTTTACTGTTTCATCCAGCGTTTTCAGTTTTTTAATTGGGAGTATTATTCAGATCTCTAGTTTGTCAGAATTGTAATTCTTGCCTTATCCAAAGGGACAGTTACTTTTCAGCTCCTGCTAATCCCATTTGGAATTGCTCAATGTTGCCAGCTCTCTTGATTTTTCAAAAGAATGTAGGAATCCCATTGATTCAAAAAATCCATTTTTAAAAATACTGGCAACAAATTTAATTTCTTAAATATGAGTGCGTCACAGACTAATGATGATTGAAAGAAGCGAGGCAGAAAAGAATACCTAAATATAATTCCATATTTATGAAGTTAAAGTAAACAGACAAAACTAATCTGGTCTTGAGATTAGAACAGTGGTTATCTTAGGGGTGTACTGAGTGGGAAGGGGCATGAGGGAGCTTTCTAGGTGCTCGTAATGTTCTACATAATGATCTGGATGGTGTTACATAGATACATGTAAAACTCTGAGCTCTACTCTTAGCTTTTGTGTGCTTTATTGTTTGTAAGTTAAAATTAAAAAGTTTTTAAAAAAGTATGTCAGGCAAAACTGCAGTTCGCCAGTTTTCAACTTTAATGGATTTCTTAAATTTTATTCCTTGATTAAGCCAGAGAACCATGTATTTACAGCACAGTTTTGTCTCCTTAGAGAATTGTTTGTACTATGCTGAGTTTTGGTGTTGTACCACCAACCCATAGGGAAGAATGGGGAAATAACTGAAGAATTTTCTTTTTAACTGAAAGGGATCTCTTTATGAAGATAGGCGGGAAAAATTTTCTCCAGATAGTACCAGGAATAATTTGGGAGCACCTGATTGGCTTTTAAGGTTATAACTAGTAACGTTTTCCTCTGTAGCTTACTAAGAAGTACAGACCCATATTTGGGACCCTTCTCTAGGATAGAGTATAAAGTCTTACAGAACATTTGAATGCTAATCTCACACAGGTTAATTATGTGATATGCATTCTGTCATCATTAGGAAGCAGAATAAACCTCTCCGTGATAAATTTTAAGCTTAAAATCGGTGTTGCATGCATATTGTTGGAAAATAGTTGAATTTTGGTGCCTTTATTTAAATTTAAATTGAAAATTATTCCTGGTTATAAAATTGCAATTGGGGTCAAATATAATTGTACGTGCTGTTAAATTATAAATGAAAAATATGGAGGAATATAAAGTTGTGCTTTTTTCTTAACTAGTGTTTGTGCGGTTGTTAAGTAAACTGGAATAATTTGCTTGGTATATAACAGGTCCTGAGTAAGTTTTTTTTCTTTTCTTTTAGTTCCCCTGGCAATGAAGACCCACCAGGTCCCTTCAAAAATTCTTTTTAAAAAATTATTAAATAAGATCCGAAGCCAAAAATCTCTCTGGACAATTAAATCCACATCTGAGGATGAAAGTGAAGTGATTACAACTCTTAGTGAAACCGAGAGTAAAGCACCAACAGTCGAATCAGGAGCAACTGTTGGTGAAGAGAGAACATCATCTTCTGGGCAGGAACAAGGTGGTTCTCTCCAGAAGTCTCATTTTGTAGCACACCTTTCTAAGTTGTTCAAAAATATGCTCATTCCTGAAACATCAAAGAATAGTGGTCAAAAGGAAGAAAATGCTTAAAGCCCATAGTGCTGCTACTTCAAGGCAGTAAATGTTTAAAAACCTTCATGAACCTTCTTCCAGACACACTTTAACGTAGTAGTATTATTTATACATGGTTGACCCTTGAAAAATGGGTTTGAACTGCATGGGTCCAATTATATGCTTGGTTTTTTTGCATAAACAGAAGATTTTTTGAAGGTTATGACAGTTCGAAAAAACAGAAACTGCACAGCCTAAAGTTACAGAAAAAATTAGAGTTAGGTATTTTAAGAATATAGTATGTAATACATATAAGATACAAAATATGTGTTAATCAACTGAGTATGTTATTGGTAAGGCTCCCAGCCAACGTAGGCTATTAGTAAAGTTTTTGGAGAGTCAGAAGTTGTAAGTGGGGGGTTTGGCTTCTAACTCTGGCATTGTTCAAGGGTCAGCCGTATATATTAGTAATAGTCCAATGTAACTGATGAATCAAAATTAACCAGTTTGTTATTGTTAAAACATTTAGCCAGTTTCTAATTTTTCTTGTTATTTTTTTGTGCTATTGTGAGCATCCTTTTAGTAGTCTTTGCGTACATCTTTATTTCCTTAGGAACAACTCTTGAAAGAATTCCTGAATCAAAGAATATGAACAGGTTAACAGCTTTTGAATACATTGTATTGTGTGTTTATTTCACATTGCCACCAGAAATTTGGTTTCTTTGTCACTCTTAAAGAAGTTTTTTTTGGTAGATGAAAGGCTGTGAAATAAATTTCCAGAAGTTACAAAGGTCAAGCCAGAACATTATGTGGACTTACAGACTAACAGATGAGTCGTGATGATGTAATTCCTCTTTCGTTTTTTTTTTTCCTTAGAGTTTTATCTTCTGTACTTTTTAAAAAATATGATTGGATTTGTATGGAAGTATTTTGCTACCAGGCTTCTGAAAGAAGTGACATACAGTCTATGTCTAGATTTTGGACTTTATCCTAAGTACAACAGGAGATCTGGAACTAATTTCTTCACTTGACCTCTTGACACCACCCTCTCAGTTTTCCTACCATAGTGGCTCCTCCTTTTTGATTTCTTTTGCTGCTGTTCTCATCTCTACAACCACTAGTCATTGCTCCCAGAGCTTGTTTCTCTGATCCTTTCACACTCCCTGCTTGAATGCTATTGTCATGACTTTACATTATCATCTTTATTCTGATGACATCTGAGTGTCTTTCTAGCCTTGACCTCTCCTTTGAACTCCACTCATTTACTTAAATGTCTATTTGACATCTTATAATCACATCTTAAACTTTTCCGAAAGTGAACTCTTAATATCCCTTCTCACCCTCCCCTTGCTTTTCCTACATGCTTCCACATTTCAATAAGTGGCAATGAAATTCTGTCGCTCAAGTTGAAAAGCTTGGTGTTCTGGTTCCCATTCTTTATATCCTACATCCAAATCATTGCCAATCCTGTTGGTCTCACTTCCAAACCTATCCACACTCCAGCCAGTTCTCACCACCTACCATCCTAGTTTAGGCTATGTTTCTTGTCCATTGTAAATTCTTGGCATTGGCCTCCTAACTGGTCTGTCTGCAGATTTTGCACCTCCCTGCTACGATCTAGTCCCAGAATCTTCTTAAAACACAAATCACGGGGATTAACATAAGAATAAAAAATAAATAAATAAATAAATAAAGCACAAATCACCTCTAGTCATTCCTCGGGGAAGGCTTCCAACAACTACCCAATTCATTCGGTTAAGACCAAAGTCTTACAGTGGCATCAAAGCCTTGTATAATACATACACATATATACCCCTCTCCCACCATTTCTTTCACCCTCACTTTCTCTAACTTCATTTTCTCCCACACCTCCCTCCCAAACTACTCACCATAGGCATTGGCTTCCTGGCTGTTCCTCGAACATAGCAAACATGACTTACATGGCCTTTGCAAATTGCTGGTCTTTTTGGCTGGGGAGCTCTTGGATATTTCTATGCCTCACTCACTTCCTTCAGATACTTGCTGAGACATGGCTTTCTCAGTGAGGCCTTCTCTGTTCACTCTATATAAAATGGCAAGTTTTGGGGCGCCTGGGTGGCTCAGTCTTTAAGCTTCTGCCTTTGGCTCGGGTCGTGGTCCTGGGATCCTGGGATCGAGCCCCACATCTGGCTCCCTGCTCAGCGGGAAGCCTGCTTCTCCCTCTGCCTCTCTTGCTGTGTCTCTCTCTGTCAAATAAATAAAATCTGTAAAAAAATAATAAAATGGCAGGTTTCTACACTCCTCCTCCTCCTCCTATAACCTTCACTCCCGATCCCCTTTACCCTGCTTTTTTTTTCTCCGTAGCTCTTACCTTCACTCCTTCCGTTGCTCTTACCAGCACCCCCTGGACCATAAATTTACTTCCTTGGTTTAGTTGCTTCTTGACCCTTTCTCCATCCACCCTGTACATCCTTCAATTCCATTGAAGAGAGGAACTAGGTTTTCTTCATTGCTGTATCCCCAGGGCAAGACCAGTGCCTTGAACATAAAAGATGCTCAATTAGTATTTGCTGGATTGAGTAGCTTAAAACAAGAGTGGATTGGAAGTCAGATGTAGATATGATATTTAAAGCCATGGGCATAGAAGAACTCTTCTAGGAGAAAGAATTTAGTGAGAAGAGGTCTTATGACACCATTTGAGGGACTCCACCATTTATAAGATGACTAAAGAAGGGGCAGACAGCAAAGGTGGTAAAAAGGAGTGGCCGACAAAGTAGGAGAGAATGTGGTTTTAGAATTCAGTAAAAGGAGGCTCTTTCGTCTTCAATCCATAACCACGTTATTTTTTAAAAGGCCCTGTACGAGTTGGCTTTCTTCAGCATAATCTTGCTTCATTCATTCTCCCGTTTGTCTGACTACATCTCCTATTCATTCCTACCTCCCCACCTTCTTTACCTGGCTCATTCCTTCTTACCTTTCAGATGCCTGCCTAAATGTCATTTCCTAAGACAAATCTCACCTGAGCCCCTAGTCTAATTTAGATTCTCCTGTAATACTCTACTGCATAATCCTTTCTTTCTCTTATATAGCACTTACCAGTTACTAGTTTTGTAATTTTTTCTTAGGATGATTAATGTTTCTGTCCCCCCACTTGCCCTGTAAAACCTCCTTTAGGCCTTTTTAAAATTTGCCACTGTATCCCCAGCATGCAGCACATAAGTAGGAGCTGTATAAATGAGTGAGTGAATGAATGAATGCTTGATGCAGAGTTTCTGACTACCCTGATATGGTCCAAGAAACTGCTTTAACTTCCTTTTCCTTCTCTGTTCTGATTTCAGAAATAAGAAAAATCCTATCTAAAAATGGCAGGGATACATTCCTTAAGCTTTTCTTTAAACTTAGGTGTCTTGCTTTGTCTATCCTTCTTTGCTTTTTCCTTGTGTTTGAAACTGTCAGTAAACCTTTTTAATCAGTTCTTCATTTTTTTCCTTTTGGTTCACAATTTTAGTCTCCCATCTGTCTTCTGGTACTAGGCTCAAGTTTAATGTATAAAATATGCAGTCATCTGGAACAAGACTGGATCTTAACTAAATATGACAGATGAGCCAAAATTGAATTGTTAATCCAAATGCAGGTTTTTGTTACTTTGTTCAGATTTAGGCTTACAGTGATAATATGTTCCTAATAATATATCTACTACAGTTGCTGAGAGTGATACTCTAACAGTTGACTCTGGACCACTTACTAGTGAAGAGAAACCACTTTCATTGGATATAGACTCTGAAAAGGAAAAAGGTATTTCTTTTTTATCACATTCTCAAATTAAAGTTGCTCAACTTAACATTTTTTTCCTAATAAAATTACATATGTGGTAAATGAATAAAGAGAATTATAGCGTTGTCAGAATTCTAAATTATTGAAACTAATTTTTGTTTTAGGGATTCTCTTAGAAATAAAGGAGGCTCAGCCTATCACAGCTGTAGCTCAGAGTTCAGTTCTACTTCATCCTCAAGAAGAAGCAGCCAGAATTAGAATGGCAGCAAGGCAGAAACAGGTAATCTGAAATTTTTATTTTTAGAGGTTTCTTTCTTCCCCTAGGTTCTATAATTTTGTGTGATCAATGAAATTTGTCTTACTGTCTGGCTGCTTTTGATACTATTTCTTCTGTCTTGTTTTATTCATTCAGCTGATAGAAGATACTTCATCTTTGCTTGTACTACTCATTTGACCCTTACTGCATTCTGTTTTATATTTAATACTTTTGTTAGAGACTATCTTTTTTGAAAATTCTATTTACTTTACAGTTTCTGGTGCAATGCTTTGTACATAGTAAGTGTTCAATAAATATTGGTTGAGTTCAGCTAGGCTTTATAACCTCAAAAGTTTTTTTGAAAAATAGTATTTCAGAAGAAAAATTGTTAATTCAACCTCCTTAACTATAATTTTGGTCCCATTTGCTTTAATACAAGATTTTTTTTTAACAGATTTCCTTGAAAGATGTTAATTGTCACTAAGCTAGTTTATAGTCATAGTTTTTATGAAAATACAGCTGGGAAGTAAGAATTCTGTAAACCAGTATTTCTTCTCAGATGAGTGTTTTCTAATCAGTATTCTAAAGCAGTATTGTCCAGTAGAGCTTTCTCTGGTTATGGAAATGTTCCATATCTGTGTCCCGTTATGGTACCTCCTAGCTGCATGGGCTATTGAATACTTGAAATATGACTAGTATAACTGAGTAACTGAATTTTCAGTTTTATTTTAATTCATTTAAATTTTAAGAGTCACATGTAGCTAGTAACTATTGTATTGATAGTGTAGTTCTAGAGGTACTACAGAAATGTAAATGGTCTAAGTTCAGTGGCTCCCGTGAGTGAGGGGAAAGTAGGGAAGATGCAGACAAGAACTCAGCTGTAGCCCTCTTGCCTGAAGGAATAGGTAAAATACCAGATTGAGACATTTTTTATTTTGAAAACAAGATTATTCTTCATTATCTGTAGCAGAAGTGTTCCTCTTCATAAAATTACCCATATATTCCTTGTTCTACTTATTCAGTAAATATTTATGTGTCTGCTGCTTCAACATCGATGGACTATGGGAACATGCTAACCGAAAGAAGGCGGTCACATAAGAGCACATATTGTATAATTTTATTTATTTTAATATCCAGAATAGGCAAATACTTAGAGACAGCAAGTAGATTAATAATTGATAAGGTTGAGTCTGGTGGAAGGATGAGGGGAAAGCAGGAAAGAGGAATGGCTGCTAGTGTGTATGGGATTTCTTCTTGGGGTACTGAAAAAGTCCTAAGATTAGTTTGTGGTAATGTTCGCACAACCCTGTGAATATATAAAAAGGCTGAAGTAAATACTTTGGGTGAATTTTATGGTATGTGAAATATTTCTCAATAAAGCTTTAGAAAAAGTTTAAAAATATATATATTTATGTGTTATGTGTGTTCTAGGGACTGTAGTAGGTACTGGATTTAGCACACGACCAGTCAGACTAGTCCCTGTCCTTAGGAAGCGTGGAGCTCCTCTGACATGTTCTAATTATTTGGATCTCTGTGTGTTTGTGTGTGTGTGTGTGTTGGTGTAATACTAGAGTTTATGTGTCAGCCCTCTGCCATTGTCTTCCCGTCTGTTTCACACCTGACAGAAGACACAGAATGTTGCTCATATATTATTTGGCCTCTAGATAACTGCACTCCCTTTATGGGTATGCCTAAGAAGTCAAATTATTTGTGAGGCCTTGATATTTAATTTCTTCAGTCATTTTTCTTGCTGAGAACACTGTAAATTTAAAGATGCAAACACAGAATTTGGCTGAGCATCATTTGCTGCTTCTCTGGAGGTGGGTCTTGAGTGGTGAGCAAGGTTTCACCGTGCTCCCACAGGAAGTGGGGACAGTTAATGTGTTTATTTTTTCCTTCCCTGTCTCTTTTTCTCCTTCCTCCTTTTCCCATCTCACCCTCTTCCTCCCTCTGGCAGGGGCAGTAACAGATAAAACATTACCACTTTCTTCTCAGGTAACTGGTATTCTTGGTGATGAGATCGGTTTCTTGTCAATGTAATTCATATAAACTTTTCTTTTGTCTGAGTTTGTTGTTAATAGATAGTAGTATTTTTGTTACTTAGATAATGGAAATAGAAGAGCAGAAGCAAAAGCAGTTGGAATTACTTGAACAAATTGAACAACAGAAGTTAAGATTAGAAACTGATTGCTTCAAGGCTCAGCTGGAAGAAGAAAAAAGGCAAAGAACACAGCAGACTGGGGTAGGATGCAGGAAATCTCATCCCTACATAGGTTGTTGGGGGATAAGAAAATATGAGCAGTCGTAGCATTCAGGAAAGTAAAATGCATTTCTAATTTTTATTTGGTAATTTTTTTTCTTTTAACACTGTGTGTGCATATATAGGTAGATATAGATACATGTATATGTGAGCTTATACAGACCTAATGGCTTTCATCTTTCAGTTTCTAAAGGGTACCAGTATATGTGACCTTGATTTATAAATAAAGTGTGTGTTGAGCTCTTGGACTTGGCACTAAAGGAGAATGGTGGATTACTTCATTTCTTAATAATGGAAGTGCCAGTCTTTTTTACGAAAAATAAAGCTGTATGAAAGTTTACAGTTGTAGAACTTCAGTTTATATAAAATACTTTAGTACTTGTTTCTGGATTTGCCTTTTAATTAGTAGCTTTGTCTTTTATTAGGTTGGCACTGCTCCAGCACCATACAGTGTAACTTCTGATGAAGATAATCATAGGCAGATGATTCGTAACTATCAACATCAGCTTTTACAGCAGAACAGGTATTAGCTAGGGTACAATTTATATGTGATATACTGTGTGGCTGCCTCTTCAGGATTTATTATTTGTTTTATATGAAGATCTAATCAGAATTCCCTTCGAACTATAGTATATAAGTTTCCCAAAGAACAATATGAATGTTGTTCTTTTTCCATCATGATAATGGCCAAACCTAAATTGCTATTTGTTGAATTTAATGTGTAGACACTTGAGAATATAGGGCATTTTTTTCATCAAGAAAGAATAATCTTTGGTTTTTTGTGCTTGTTATAGGTTTCACAGACAGTCTGTTGAAACAGCCAGGAAACGATTACTCGAATATCAGACTGTGTTAAAAGGAAAGTACTCATCCGGGTTAGCCACTTCATTGATACCTGATTCTGTTATATCAGTACTGCCACAGAATTCTCAAAGACCCACTGTTATATCAGAGCATTGGGATCAAGGTCAGAGACCCAAGTTGAGTCCTAACAAATATCAACCTATACCATCCATACAGATCTCCAAATTAGAACAAGATTATTTTCAGGTTCCAAGAGAAAGTCTCTTTCCACAAAGACAGGTAGAAACAGACAAATTAATCACTTCAGATGTTTTAGACAGGCAGTCTTTGGAATCGCAGGAACAACCTAAGCAACTCTCGCAGAGTGAAGTACAACAGAGAGACTATAAATTGGTTCATAAAGATTCTCATACACTTTCAAAGCCTTTGTCACATGATAGGCTGCTAATACAGGATCCTAAAGAAATAGCTGAAATATCTAGGGCAACAACTTTTCAAACTTCAGATCCCCATCAAAGGTTCTCAGAGAACAAGGAAAGTATACCCTCCATCCTAACTGAACGTTCTTCATTCCAGCCACTGTCAGCTGAGCATGCTTTTAGTTCTCTGCCTGCTGCAGTTGGATCTGGAAAAATCCAGGAATCCTTTTCAGCCATGAGCAAAAGTGCAGTTTCTGTAAGTCATTCTGTAATCAGCCAAATGCAGGATAAGTCTTTACCAACCTCAGAGAATATCACAGCCCAGCTGGGTAATTTGAAGGCTCTCCAAGAACAGTTAGACCTACAGAAGGAAGTTCTTCGGTCAAGACAGGAAGCTCAGGAACGATTGCTTTTGTACAAACAGAAAGAATTGGAAGGACAAACTGGCCTCTCTGTCTCCCTTCCATTAGTATCTCTGGATTCAGTTGCCACACTGCCTTCTGCCAGAGCTGCATCGGGGAGAATCCAGGAATCTTCTCCAACCAGGGATGATACTGCAGTTCCCTCAGGCCATCTTGGGCTCCCACGACTTCCGGATAGGCTTTTGAGTTTTTCACAGCCTGTCTTATCACAGCAAGATAATTTTAAATTTCTCCAAGAACAGTTAAATACTCAGAGGGACAGCCTTCAGGCGAGGCGAGAAGCCCAGGAAGTATCATGTGTACATAAACAGAGTGAATTGAATGGAAGAATATGGTCTGAACAGACTGCACCCCCTTCTCTCCCTTCTCACATAGCTCAGCATACATTTACTTCACTACCTTCTGCTGGCACTCATTCTAGAAAGATCCAGGAGCAGTTTTCATCTGAGAGTGCAAAGGGACTTCTCTCAAGCCAGTCTGAAGACCAAAAATCTCAGGTTGGGTCCTTGAGTTTCCTACAGCAGTTCCTACCTCTGCATGATAGTTTGCAGTTGCTCCGAGAACAGGTGACTACACAGAGGGATGCTCTTCAGGCCGGGCGGGAAGCCCAGGCAGAATTGCTTTTGCATAGACCAAGGGATTTGGGAGACAGTAAGTCTGGGCAAATGAGTTCTTCACTTCCACCAGCGGTTTCTCCGTCTTTAGTTACTTCACAAACTTCTGCTAAAACTGAGCCAAGAAGAATTCAGAACTTTTATTTATCTGAAAAGGAGAGTGTTCTTCCCTCCAGTCATCCGGTAATCCCAGCATTTCAGGATGAGCCTCGTGGTTTCCCACAGCATAACCTGCCACGGCAAGAAAATTTGACAGCATTTGAAGAACAGTCACACACACACAGGGTAATGCTTGGTGCTGAACAAGAAACTCGGGAATTTGTACACAAACCACATGAATTAGAAAAAATAGTTTCTTCTGAACAGACTGGCACCTCTTTATCCCTGTCCCAGGTAGCTGAGTCTGAAAGATTCCAGGAATTTATGCCAATCAAGAGTGACAGTACAGTTCCCTTAAGCCAGTCTAAGATTCCGAGATTTCAGGAAAGACTTCTGGGATTTTCACAGCTTGGCTTGGAGGAACACCAAGAATGGCTGGATACAGAGAAGGCGGTCCTTCATTTTAGCCAGAAAACCCAAGGAAATGTATCTTCGGAACAAACTGACTCCTCATTCAGACCCCAGGTAGGACAGCCTTCATTTACTTCGTTACCTTCTGCTGAATCTGGTACAACACAGGAGCCTCCTTCAACAGAGAGTGATGGTAAAAATCTTGCAAGCCATCTTCAGATCCCACAATTGCAGGATAGGCTTTTGAGGATATCACAACTTATTCGGCCTCAACAAGATAATTTGAAGGTGCTTGGAGAAAGGTTAGCTACACAGAGAGAAGCTATCGTTCAATCTAGACAGGAAGCTCAGGAAGAATTACTTTTGCACAAACAGAGTGAGTGGAAGCAAAGAAAAGCTCCTGAGCAGGTTGGCTCCTCTTCCTTCCTACCCCCAGTTATACAGCATTCATTTGCTTCATCACCTCTTAGTGAATCCGGAAGAATCCAAGAACCATATTCAACTAAGAGTGATAATACAGGTTCCTCAAGACATTCTGAGACACCAGGATTGCCTGATGGGCTTTTAGGTGTATCACAGCCTATTTTACCTCAGCAAGATCACTTGATTGCACTTCAACAGGAACACTTGTATGCACAAAGAAATTCCCTTCCGTGTGGCAAGAAAACCCAGAAAGAATTGGTTTTGCCCAGACAGTATAAATTTGAGGAAGAGTTATCTTCTGAGCATTTTGTCCAGCTTCCCCAGGGTGATTTGAAAGTACTTCAAGAGCAGTTAGAAATACAAAGGAAAGCCATTCGATCTAGACAGGAAGTCCAAGAAGAAGTACTTTTGCAAAGACTAAGTAAATTGGAGAAAAGGGTATCATCTGAGCAGATTAGCTCTTCATCATTATCCCAGGGAGCACCGCCTGTTGCTGACTCTGAAAGAATCCAAAAGCCTCTTGCAACCAGAAGTAACAGTACTGTTCCCTCAAGTCATCCTGAGATCCCAACATCCCAGGATAGACCTTCAAGTTCATCACTACCTGTTCTGCCTCTGCAAGATTCTTTGACAGCCCAGTTGGACTTACAGAGGGAAGTGGTGCATTCTAATGAGAAGGACCGAGAAGAACTGCTGTTAAACAAACAAACAAAATTGACTGAAAGTGAATCTGCCGGGCATGCTATTCCCTCTTTGTTTTTACCCACAGAAAGCGAGCATTCATTTATTCCACTGCCTTTTGCTGAAGTTAAATCTAAAAACCATGGTGAATTGTATTCATCTAAGAATGAACATGCAGCTCCCTCAAGCAATTCCATGATCCCCAGATTTCAAGATAGACTTGTGTGTTTTTCACAACCTGTCTTAACTCAGCAAGATAACCTAGGACTTCAGAAGCAGCTGGATCTACAAAAGAAAGTTCTGCAATATAGCCAAAAAGCCCAAGAAGAATTGCTTGTACAGAGACAAACAGCATTGCAGCAGCAGATACAGAAACATCAAGAGACCTTGAAGGATTTCTTTAAATATAATCAGGTATGTATTAAACTTGAATACCTAGAAATTAAATTAATAGAGGTAACCCGACTCAGACAAGCTAGATATATTTTTAATCTCAGGCCTAAATAAATTCTCAGTTATTTGAGAATAAATGGTTTGACCTTAACTGCTTTAATTTTCTACCTTAAACACTGGAAATTAAAACATAAAAATTGAGGGCGCCTGGGTGGCTCAGTTGGTTAAGCGGCTGCTTTCGGCTCAGGTCATGATCCTGGAGTCCCGGGATCGAGTCCCGCATCGGGCTCCCTGCTCAGCAGGGAGTCTGCTTCTCCCTCTGACCCTCCTCCCTCTCATGCTCTCTGTCTCTCATTCTCTCTCTCTCAAAAAAAAATAAAAATAAAAATAAAAATTGACTCTACCTTGCATGGTGTTTATGAGGTTAATAGTTGTTTGAAGCCCAACTGATTTCAGCCTTATTTTGACATAGCCAAATGCAAACACCCTTAAAAATGCAGATTGCCATTTGAAGTTTTTTTATAAAGGCTTTGAGCTTACCATGAGATTAAATTGCAAGGGCACTTGGGTGGCTCAGTCGGTTAAGCATCTGCCTTCGGCTCAGGTCATGATCCCGGGGTTCTGGGATCCAGTTCCCTGTCGGGCTCCCTGCTCAGCGGGGGTGGGGGGGTCTGCTTCTCCCTCTGCCCCTTCCCCTCCACTCATGAGCACATGCGGGCACGCTCTCTCTCGCAAAAATAAAAATCTTTTTTAAAAAAAGATTAAATTGCAAACTAATTAGCAGAATTTCTTTTATGCAAATAGCAAGTCTTGTGCTTTCTGTATAGCACTTTGTCGACATTTGTATTTGAATCAAAATTAGTACCACCTTTTTCCGTTAGTGACAATATCACCACCTGTTCTAAAACTGGCATGATTTTAGGCTGATGGGCAGTTAGACGTGCTCTTTGTTATTGAGTTGGTGAGAAGACTCTGGCACGGTCACATTGACATTCATGGTTTCTCTGTAGGGGAGATGAGTATATTCTCCTGAATGTGAATCTATCCATTTTATTTTAATAGGCCACTTCCTGAATCTATGATTTAGCCTAAATTGAATTCTATAAATCCTTTGACATTCAAAAGAAGCCTGAGTTGAGTTCATGAGAGCTTTGAGTTGTAGGGATTTCCTGGTCATTTTAAGGAAAAGTAATGGGGAAAGAAAAGCAGGGAAGAGTACTCAAGTATAATGTCTTACTAAAAGACACAGTAGAGACTAAGTTTTTAAGTCCAAGCCCTGTGAAAGGCCATACTTTTCAATGGAAGTATCACCTTTTCTGTATTAGAAGCATTTCGCATTTTTTTAAATCTCTAAAATTGCAATAGTGTATTTGATGGAAATATTTGGTTGAGGTTCTAATTTAAGAAGGATGATACACATCTGGTGAATTCTTCACATGATCCCTCATCTTGTGTCATCCCCACCCTCAATTGTCCGCTTTCTCAGATAAGTAAGCCCACAGCTGAAGGTGATGTAGACACTCAGAAGCTCAGAGAGTGGCTTCCTCATCTCCAAGACCTAGCAGGAGATGATCAGGAAGGCATTAGTCTTGCGAGTAGGAGCAACTGTGGTGATAATCAGCTGCTTTCAGAAGAGAGTGGTGCCAAGCAAAGTGGTAAGATAACTCCGTTTTTTTATTGTAACTATCCTGATTATTCTTTACTTTCACCTTCAGCAACCTGGTGGCTGAAATAAAGCTTGTAGTATGCTAACAGATTTGTACTATGCCTGAATCTGTCACTGACTTGATAGGTGAGCATCTGGACAAAGAACTGGCCAGGAGATCCTCAAAGCCCCCTGTAGCAAAAGTGAAATGTGGCTTGGACTTGAACCAGCATGAACTCAGTGCTATACCAGAGGTAGAGTCACCAGCAAGTGGCAGAACGTCTATACTAGGTAAATAAATGGTTTGATAAAACAGGATTTTTTAATAGTTTTTTTCACCATGCTAAATTTCTTGTCTTGAAGAAACAGGCTGTGAGTATTCATGAAAGAAAGAAATGGTTTACATAAACAGTATTTAAAATTTGGACTTAAATGTGGCATTAAGTGACTAGTTTCTTCTCGTAAATGGTGAAAATCTGTTTACTGTAGACAAAAATTCTTCAGTATCCTCTGCTTCTGACACTCTTGCTTCCCTCTGCTTCCTTTCATATCTGCCTTCTTTCTAAACCTGTTTCTTTAGGAGTAACTCTGTGTTTTCTTTTCTTCTTTGCTGCTTTTCTACTTCAATAGCTTCACTGCTATTTTCTTGTATTTTTTATAGGATAATTATTATGCTTAAAATCCTGGCTTTAAAGATAGTTACAACTATATTTCTTCTCTCTACTTCTTCCTAGATGCAGTTATCT